GGTGAGGCCACCTCGCCCGGCCTCTAATTACTTTTGAAAGCTGAGATTCCACAGTCACTTCTTAAACTCACCTTTTCCCATTTACCACTGAGGTGACAGTGGCAGGACACTACCCACGCTCACAGAGAGCCAGGACCATATTTCAGGCCACCCAACGCCCAGGACGCTTCTCAATCAGCCCTCGTGTTGGAAAAGACTGTTTTCCCAATACATAGCATGGTTCCATCAACACAATTATTTATGCAAACAGGAAAAGTCATTACCGAAAGAGATGATTTCAGCGAATGTCCGCTTTCTTTTCGAACAGCAAATGACGCCGTCCGGGAGAGGCAGCCCAGCTCTCGCCACACGCCTTCCCACTTGACCGTGTGGCTGGTCCTCCATATGGGAAACTGCGAACGCACACGAGGAAGTGAGACAGCTTTCTGTACCGTACATACTTGGGGAAACTGTTGCAAATCATTTTTTGGAATGAAGAATCACAAAATAATTAACAAAATACCTAAAATAAAAATTTGTATTTATTTATTTATTTTTAATTATTTCCACCTCCAATGCTGATGAAAACAAAATTTTTATAAATGATGGGAGGGAGGGAGAAGGGAAGAAGGGAACGGGGAGGAAGGACAAAGGAAGAAAGGGAGAACGCTGCGAACTGAATGGAAGGAGAATGCTCCCAGAAGCAGGACTGTGTTCCGGGACAGCGCACAAGGCCACTGCTCTGAAAGCTGCAGGCAACTCTGTAATCAACGGGGGCGTCTCTTTCTCCGCTCTTTGTGAAGGATAAGACGCCTAGGACGGGCTGGCACGCACCCCGACAGTCCTCCAACCCGTCTGAAGCCAGGCCTGGCGAGCCGCGTGACTCACATCAGTCCAGCCCGCAGAAAAGAACCAGGACACAAAGTTATGCAAGAGTTTAAGAGCAGAGTATCCTTCCTGCAGCCAGAGGCCTGAACCTGGTCAGGAAGGCATACTCTGCTCCTTAACTCTTGCATAACTTAGTGTCCTGGTTCTTTTGCGGGTGGACGTGATGTGAGTCACGCGGCTTTCGCCAGGCTGGCTTCAGACGGTTGGAGCTGTCGGGGTGGCGTTGCCAGCCTGTCCTAGCGCTCTGTAGTCCTTCACAGGAGCGGAGAAAGAGAGCGCCCCCATTTGATTACAGAGTGCCGCAGCTTTCCAGAGGCAGTGGCGCGTTGTGCGCGTGTCCCGGAAACACAGTCCTGCTTCTCGGGGGAGCATCTCTCTTCCATTCAGTTCGCGAGTGCTTCTTCCCCGCCCCCCTTTGCTTCCTTTGTCCTTCCTCGCCCTGTTTCGCCTTCTTCCTCCCCTTCTCCCTCCCTCCCATCATCTTATAAAAATTTTGTTTTCAATCGCAGCATTGGGACGCGTGGAAATAATTAAAAAATAAGATAAATAAATACAAATTTTTATGTTTAGGTATTTGTTAATCTATTTTTGTGGAGTTCTTCATTCGCAAAAAATGATTTGCAACAGGTTTCCCCAAGTATGTGACGGTACGGAAAAGAGCTGTTCACTTCCTCGTGTTGGCCGTTCGCAGTTTCCCATATGGAGGACCAGCCACACGGTCAAGTGGGAAGGCGTGTGGCGAGAGCTGGGCTGCCTCTCCCGGACGGCGTCATTTGGCTGTTCGAAAGGAAAGCGGATCAGTTTTTCCCCGCTGAAATATTCTTCTTTCGGTATGGACTTTTCCTGTTTGATAAAGTAATTTTTGTTATCTCAGAGAAATGCCCATTATTTTTGAGAAGTGAGCGATGCTGTAGTGGGAAGTGTGGCAGTGATTTAACTCTCACAAGGAAGCCAGGTCACACTGTGTTCCCCAGAGGGCATCCCACACTGGTCACTCCCTATAGCCCTCAGGCCTGCAAGAGAGCTCAAGGCCATCATGAGTAGGCGGGAAATGGTCACAGGCCCAGAATACCCCACCCTGCTTCGGGGTGAGAACCTCAGGGTACGCACCCCAGCATGATTACTCACAGAGCACCAAGGCACCGTGCCAGGCACTGGGGAACCAGGAGATGGTACGGCAGGGGCAGCCTTGCTTACCAGCCATTTCTGCACCAGGGCCACCTGGGACTCAGGCACTTTCTCAAGTGCCAGGAGGCAGCTCACAGGTGGGGCAGAGGGTCTGTGTGCTCCTTGCCTCCCACTTGCCATCTTTGGGAGTCAATAAAAAAGGCAATTTGTTTCTACCCAAGCCCATAAAGGGAATGATAGAAACGCTACTTACACTGTACTCGGCTGATATTCCTCTATCAGTCTCCCGCAGTGAGCTCCAAGGGAACTGCCCAGTAACTTTATACAAGTTTACGGAGAAACTAAGAGACAAGAGATAGAACTTTAAAAGCTGAAACAGTGATTAGAACTTGTACACAATTTTTTTTTTTGAGACAGAGTCTCACTTTGTTGCCCAGGCTAGAGTGAGTACCGTGGCATCAGGCTAGCTCACAGCAACCTCAAACTCCTGGGCTCAAGCAATCCTTCTGTTTCAGCCTCCCGAGTAGCTGGGACTACAGGCATGCGCCACCATGCCTGGCTAATTTTTTTGTGTATATATTTTTAGTTGGTCAATTAATTTCTATTTTTAGTAGAGACGGGGTCTTGCTCAGGCTTGTTTTGAACTCCTGACCTCGAGCAATCCACCCGCCTCGGCCTCCCAAAGTGCTAGGATTACAGGCGTGAGCCACCACACCCGGCTGGAACTTGTATACATTTAAATCAAGATTTAAAGCGACATTTGTGGGGTTCAGCTTCAAGAGGAAATCTACCGCCTGGTGTCACTGCAGAAGTGGCAGTGGATTCTGTAAGTTTTTCACAAACTAGGCATCTATTCTAACTTTAAATCAGGCCAGTGTACTCAATGATCTGTTTGGCTTCCTACTTTCTTTCGAAGTTTCCAGGCCGTGGTTTGAAGAAGGACAGGCCATATGAAGTTTCTTTTGTTCCGTAGGAAAACTGAAAAGTCACCTTCTCTGCACGACCTAGGAGATTGGGGAGTTTGAGGCCAAGTACCTAGGAAGAAAAAAAAATAGCAGTAGTCTAAATTGAAGTAATAATAACTTTGGATAAAGATTGTGCTAGCTAAGAGACTTTCGTAAAAACACAACAAAAATGTAGACTACAGATCCAACTTTTCATTCCTAATTGTTTTACTCTTTAAAACATGCCTGTGCTGAGAGCAGACATCCCATATCCAAACCTGATTAATGTGACAGACAAGCTAAACTTGCCACCCGTGAAGCTCAAGGACATAATCTACACGTTTGGAGTTTAAAGGAATTTGAACAAGAGACTATTAATATGAACATTCCCCAAATCATTCCTAATTACTGATATTAATATTGTTATTAAACAATTCAAAACACACTATAATCAATTTTAGGGAGATTAAGAGAAACCACAAATAACAGATTAAGGTACATGAAATGACAAAGTTTTGAAAACTATTATCAAGCTTTTAGAATTACAGTCATAGTTTAAAAGCTCATAATTCAAAGTTCCAATATAAAAAAGAAAAAACCTGTATCATACCATGCTGCCTTCATTGTTCCCAACCATGGTGTTATAACTGCCTGTTAATCTCCTTAATTCAGTTACTTCAAAGGTAACATCTAACCCATTTGGAAGTGCATCATCACCTAAGTAAACAAAAAATATGAAACAATAAGACAGCCATTTTAGGTTCCATTTTATTTTATTTTATTTATCATCATTTTATTTTAGGTTCCATTGCTAATAAAAACAAAAAGCAATCTTATGGATAAAAAGGTTCATTTTATTTTATAATCTCCTTTGGAAAATACACCATCTATTTTAAAGTTCAAGAACACCCCCACACAAAATCAAAATATTGGACACCTCTACACCAAAAATTGTGTCTCTAGTTCCTGGGGCAGAATATATCAAAACACATCCAATTTTTGCTACAAGGAGATGATAAGCAGCAGTATTTGCTAAAGGAATTTGTCTTCCTACTAGGAGACTAAGTTGAGAGACTTGCCCAATATCACACAGCAAATAAGAAAATGAGGAGAAACTAAAACAGAAATCTGATTCCCTCCCCTTTTTAAGCACACACAGAGATGGGGCCTGCCGAGAGCACAGCCGCTGGGCTGGGCCATGGTGAGGGAGGCCCAGCGCCCACCTCCAGGGTCCTTCTCAGAGCCCCAGCGTAGTGCAGGGCTCTGGAGGAGGTTTCAGAGTTTACCAACCCTGCCTCAGCCTGATGTGAAACTCCAGTCCCTTCCCTGAGACTGACTGCTAAACAGAAGTCTCAACTGTTTGGTTAACCTTCAGACGCCATCTGTATCTGGCCACACAACAGCTTTTCTGTGTCCTAGAGGACGGAGGAACAGAGAATCATAGATACCACAACACAGTAAGTACCTTGGCACGTATCAATCAAAACATCCACTTGTCTAAAGACTCCCAGACGAAGCAATTTTTCACGGGCTTCATGAGATTTCCGCATTACCTGTAAGAGGGGAAAGAAGAGAGAGTGTATTTTTCTAAGATAGAGAAAGACAAACAGTGGCTACATGACCAGGCTAACAGTTAACATTTGGCACTAAGTGACTGATTGCTGAGATGAGAGAAATACCAAGACCAGCTGCATGAAAGAATAGAGACGCACTACAGGGCCGACAAAAAACCCGGCTCAACAGCGCAAAATCGCATGAACAAAGAAGATATACACACCCATACCACATAGCCTAGCATGTTTTTCTGGAAGGGATCACATCACCATTAGTTGTAAAGAATGGTTACATTTGGTGGCAGGGAGAAGAGAAAGAGTGCATGTGAGTGTGTGTGTGAGTGCATGCATGTGCACACGCATGTCCCTTTTTGTGCTGTTTCAATTTTCTAACCACTTCTAACTACTGTTTAGCAAATTTTCTCTCCCTCTTCAACATCAACGGCAGTCCATACTTGCTGGAAGGACAAGTAGAAGAGAGGGAAGGCAGGCAAGGTACTCAGGAAGCAGAGGAGGAAAGGACTTAGTGTGATAAGAAAAGTCTAGATACCAGCCAGCAGGTAAAAGGGGGTTACTGTAGAATTTTCAGACCAGAGACAGGATCAAATGTCCTCATGAGAAAGAACTGACCACGTGGACAAACAGTTCTGCTCAGAAGGAGTTCTGCAGACTAGGGGAACATGAGGGGCTCTGGCAGCAGCCCCGGGAGCTGAGGTGTTTGAGGGGAGGACAGACCTGGAGACATTTCACAGGCAGGAGCCAGAGGATGGTGCCACTGATTAGATGGAACCCATGAGAAGGAGTGGAGGCTGTGGAAACTTGCAGCTCTGGGCTTAGCACCCGGCTAGAGGTTGGTGCCCTCAGAGAAGTCAGGGACAGAAATGGAAGGACAGGCAGGGCAGGTGGGAGGAGTCGGAGACGTTATGGCAATTCAACGAGGAAATGTTTAGTAAAATATTTAGTAGGCAGTTGCATAGTCAGGGCTAATGCTCGACAGAGAGGAACTGGCTACAAACAGCTTGCGGAGCCTTCTACTCTGTAGCTGAAACCAGGGATGTGGACGAGATTGCCCAGGGAGTGGGAGACCAGCCAGAGACGGACCCTCAGGGAAAAGCGGCACTTAGGATGATCACAGGAAAACGCAGCAGGCAGTGGAGGGCTTAAAATGACTGTGACGAGAGGTGGAAAGACACCCGGGAGAGTGGGCACCAAAATTCAGGGAAGAGAAGACATCACGGAAGAGGAAAGACAGAAACACATTCAAAAGACAAATAACAAAGCAGGAAAAATATATTCAACACAGACAACAAAGTGATCACTTCTTTACAAAGAACTCCTATAAATTAACAAAAAGCCTAACAGGCCAATGGAAAATGGAGAACACTAAAAAGTAATTTGCAAAAGAGATATGAATGACCAATAAACAAAAAAAAATGCTTCACCTCATTCATAATTAAATAAATGCAAATTAAAACAATGACAAACTATTTTTCACCTAAAGGTGGCAAGAATTTAAACAGTGTGGCAATACCCAATTTGGGGAAACACACCTTCTCATACATTGCTGTGAGGGTGTAGACAGGTGTAATCTCTTTGGAGAGTAATATGGTAGCATCAGGCCGGGCGCGGTGGCTCACGCCTATAATCCTAGCACTTTGGGAGGCCGAGGCAGGTGGATTGCTCGAGGTCAGGAGTTGGAAACCATCCTGAGCAGGAGCGAGACCCCGTCTCTACTATAAATAGAAAGAAATTAATTGGCCAACTAATATATATAGAAAAAATTAGCCGGGCATGGTGGCACATGCCTGTAGTCCCAGCTACTCGGGAGGCTGAGGCAGGAGGATTGCTTGAGCCCAGGAGTTTGAGGTTGCTGTGAGCTAGGCTGACGCCATGGCACTCACTCTAGCCTGGGCAACAAAGCGAGACTCTGTCTCAAAAAAAAAATATGGTAGCATCAGTGACAATTATAAATAAGTACTCTGACCCAGTAAGCCCACTTCTAGGTATTTATCCTGTCGGGCCAGGTGCCATGGGGTAGTCCCAACTATGTGGGAGACTGAGGCAGGGGGACTGTTTTGAGGCCGGAGTTTGAAGCTATGGCACGCTATGATCGTACCCATGAATAACTACTGCACTCCAGTCTGGGCATCATAGCAAGATACCTTCTCTATATTTTTTAAAAAAGGAATATACCCTACAGTGATACTGTCACATGTATGCAAAGATACACTTAACATGTTCAATGCAGTATTGTTTCTAAGAGTGAAACACTCATTAATTTATTAGGTCATTAAATATGGAATATATAATTTTGAATCAAAAGTGTAGTTTATTATATCTCAAACAAGAAGTAGTACTATTAATCAAAGTATGCACCTAAACTATCAACACAATTTTACCATCTTGTTTTTCTTTTTTTTGAGAAGGAAAGAGGAGTTCGTTAATTTGCCGATAAATGAGGAGATTGACAAAGTCCCACCTCAAAGTACCAACATCCTGCTTCTGAGCATAAGTACAGAGCTTTCAAAGGTTCTGATTCATCCCATCTTCAGCTAAGGCATCTCCCGATTTCTACTGGATAATTCCCTTGAGCCATCTCTTGTGGCACAAAGAACAAAGGACACTCCCCTGCCCCTCCTGACCACTGGCCTGACAAAGGGATATAGGTTTTAGTTCTCAAAAAGGGTGAGGGGATTTTGAAGAGACAGAAAACATTTTTACCCTTTTTCAGGCCATATTCTCTGTTACACATTCCCCACCATCAATTTTACCCTCCCATACCTGTGGGAGGAGGGCAGAAGTCATCAAGCTACTTCCTGCTGAGTTGGGTGATATTTTAGATGGAAGGTACAGATTGTCGGGTGAAAACGGTATAAGCAATAACTACAACTGTGAGGACTGACAAGGTGAAAAGGACTGCCTTGCACACAATGTCTGACACAGGGCTGGGTTAGCAAACAGCAGTTATGCCATCTTAACAGTAGCTTGTTTACGCCAGGACAGCGAGTGGTGATGAAATTGCAAAAGGTGTTTTCCACAGCTTGCTGAGAATTGAATATTTTCCCTGGCAAGTAGTAGTCCAAAGCCTGGAAGAAGTGGTAGTCAGTTGGTGCAAGGTCCGGTGAATACGGTGGATGATAGAGTTTCCAAGCCCAGCCCCTGTAGTTGAGCAGCACTGTTTGCGCAACATGTGGCCGAGCATTGTCTTGCAAGAGGATCAGCCCGTCTCTATTCACCAATCTCAGCTGCTTAATCACAAGCATCCTCATCATTTCTTCCAACTGGTAACAGGAGACTTCCGCTATAAGTGATTGACCAGGTTTCATGAAGCTGTAGTGGCATAACACCAGCAATGGACCACCAAACAGACACCGTTAGTGTTTTTTGAAGAATATTCAGTTTTGGACTGTGTTTCGGCACTTCGTCCTTATCCAACCATTGAGCTGAAGGCTTGCAATTGTCAAAAAGAATCCATTTTTCATCACACGTAACAATACAGTGTAGAAATGGTTTGCCTTTATATCACGACAGCAAAGAAAGGCAAGCTTCGAGATGATTTCTCGTCTGACACTCGTTTAATTCATGCGGTGCCCATCTATCCAGCTTCTTTACTTTACCTATTTGTTTCAAATGGTCCAATATTTTTGGAATAGTAACATCAAACCTTGCTGCCAATTTACGTGCAGGTTGAGATGTATCTGGTTCCACTGCAGCTTTCAGCTCATCATTATCCACCTTGGTCTCAGGTCACCCATGTGGCTCATTTGCAAGATTAAAATCACCAGAACAGAACTTCTCAAACCACTGACAGACTGTATATCCATTAGCCACATCCTTCCCAAACACTTCATTGATATTTTGAGCTGTCTGTGCTGCATTGCTTCCACGATGGAACTCATATTCAAAAATAACACAAATTTTTGATTTACCCATGGTTTCACAAAAACTGCGCTAAAAAAATTTGAAAGATAATCACAAGCCAAAATGTGTATTTGAAAGACTGAGAGAAATTGAAAGACTTCACAATAAAAATAAAACAAGAAGTGTCAAAGTGATACGTCAGAGATATCAACTGTCAAATTTAGCACTTAAGGAAATCAGACATTTCATACTTAATAACCTAGGTAAATGTCCACCAACAGAGAACTGTTTACAGTAACTGAGGGGACGTCCATACAATGAGGTACATGCAGCCAGCAGACTGCTAGTGCCGATGTGAAAAGATCCCCATAACTTATGATGTCAAAAAAGAAAGGTACAGAAAAAAAATGTGGAGAATAAGGTTATTGTTTAAATATCGTATGTGTTTATATACATAGACAACATATCCTGAAAAATGCAGAAGAAACTGTTAGCTATGTTACCTCTGGAGAGTGCACAGGGGACTGGCCAGAGAGGGAAACGTGTACATTTCACACCAATGCCCTTCTGTACCAGTTGGTTTTCTATAATTTTTTTTTTTGCTGCACTTATATATTAATATTTTTAAATATATACTTTTTTAATAAAGTGGGAATGGTCCACAGAGCCAAACACTGCTGAAAGGTCAAGTAAAATGAAGGACGAAAGGAGATGCTGAACCTGGCCATGGGAAGTTGCCAGTGACCTCTGCCCAGGCTGTTCAATGTGGTCCCAAGGGCAGAAGGACAGAAAGAACCCACGGAGGAGGTAGGAGGAGGAGGAGAGGGAGGAGGAGGAGGAGGAGGAGGAGGAGGGTGGTGTAGTGCAGAAGGGAGACTGCTCCACAAATGAAGAAAGGCCCATGAGTTGGGGAATGCATAACAGATGAGTGTCACCATCTGGGCCCCAGGGGACAGGACGACACACTGGAGCACTCAGCACAGTGCCCAGAAAGGGCTGTGCAGTAACCCCATTGGCTCCCAGCATGATGCTGGGAGACTTATGAAGAACACAGGATGGACCCACTTTGGACAAGATGAGAGATGCTTCTTTCTCCAGGATAAGAAAGATAGGAGGTAAATGTAAATACAAATATGTGCAAATTTGTAGAGGCACCCCAGGAACTGAGGGAGTTCAGCTTGGGGTGCCAACAGGTTCAAAGGTAGGAGACAGGTCTCCAGTGGAGAGGCTGGGGACAGGGTGCTCTGAAGTTTAAGGAGACGTGGACCTTTAAAGGTTCTTCAGAACGGACAGAAAAAGAACACCAAGTAGAGATCACACTTACCTCAATGAGGTTTTTAGCCTTAAAAACATCTCCAATTTCACAAATGATGATATCATCTTTAGTCCTTCCAAGCCCATCAAAATGAACATGCTGAACAACCACCTAAATATGACAAGTGACATGGGAGTACTGATTATTACATATGACACAAGGCAAGAAGAGATTAAGCGTCAAGACTAAAGACAAATGTCTAAAATTAATTTCAAGGTTTTTTTTTCAACTTTAATAAACCTATACTTCTTACTTCTGAACTTTATTCTTATTTTTCACACCTTTTCAAAAACCTGGTCACTTGGAATGACCCTTTGCTAGGTCCGTACTTCCTGTGAACCAGATCTACAAGGTCTCTCCAGTCAGCTGCCCCAGAAACACATCAGCCCTAAACCCAGGCAGGCCGCAGATGCCCTCCCTGTCCTTCCCAACATGCTCCCTGAGCACTGGCCTGTGGCTGAACGCTGGCCTTGACCTCTGAGTTAGTAACTGTGTGCATCTTGCTAAAGATCATGCGTGGATTTCAACATAGCACAACAAATGCTAACTTGAAAAGCCCCTCTCCTCCCAGGCTCCTCACCAGAAAGTAAACACTTCTGGAGTTGGAAATTTAAATTTCAAAGGCAAAAGTGTTTATGAAAAGTTTAATTTGAGACCCACAGTCTTTTTTTCAGGGAGTACAGAAAAGAAGTATAAATTTAAGTATGATTTGAGTTTGTTTCTGAAATACTTTTTTTAAATAACATAAATGTGTTTTAAACACAAACATAAAAATTATGTTTTAAACATAAAAAAAAGTGTTTGCCTAAACCTCCCACATAAATAATCACCAAGGAAAAACTACTTTTCTAAAACCAGAAGCTATTCTCTAAATGTCACCAGTCTTTCTAGTTGTACATGGTTATAAACTCTTCTCAGATAAAGGCACTGACACAGGTTAATTCCTTCACATCTCCCTAGTGGTTTATGAAAGTGAATGTTTCTAGTAACAATTATATCAAAACCTTCAAAAGAAAACTCACATCTTTGTTTTCAAGAATTTCCTGTTTAGCTTCAGGTTCAACTTCAACAAATTCCGCTTCTTCTCCTAATGCTCCAAAATCAGGTCCACTTGATGGAAGAGGCTCCAAACTCTGACAGGGAGGGAGGGAGGAACCACAGATAAATGGCTTTGTAACACAAACACACAAACACGAACACACACACACACAAACACACACACACAAACACACACACACAAACACACACACAGAAATTAAAACTGAGTTTTGTCTTTAGATGGCGCTCCAGAAAATCCAGTAGTCATTCCCTCTGGTGAGTGAAGGCAGGGACAGGGTGGGGAATAGGGAGAAAAAAGGCAGGTGTAAGCTATCGTTAACGTGCAAGTTCTTGGACTGGTGGCTGACTCATCAGTGCTCACCAAATAAAACAGATAAAAATGAATTAACTAAAAAGGGCCATGCACAAGCCCATGATGACCGTGTCAAGAACCAAGGATTATGACTAATCTAATTCTATACACTTGAGGCCCATGTGAAGGGGAAAAATAATCATTAAAAAGTAAAGTGCCACAAAGACATTGATCAGGGAAAAGAAAAAATTTCCTTCCCTGTTGTTATAGAAAGTATCCTAATTTTCCAAATCGAAATTATATATATTTTAGGATAGCTACATTGGATACCAAATTACTAAGAAAGCATGTTGTTTGGACCCTGATGGATTTTTCTCATTTCAGGATGTCTCATGAGAAAAGCATTAAAAGGAACTGCATATGCTCATAAAATGGGTGAGAAAGCAGTCACTTTTTATAATCTACATTGGTATTAACTCAAAACATTAGAGCATCTTCTGAATAAGCATTCTGTAAACTGCTTAGTATTTGCTACCCCTGCCCTAAAAGGCTCTGATGGTCCTCAAAAGTACCTGCAGGATGGAATCCAATGAGATGCCTCAGCAGGCAACTCCAGCAACTCTGAGCACACAGGCAACTCCAGCAACTCTGCCACAAGGCCCACGTGTGCTACTCCAGTCTCCATTTCCACTGCCTGCCCCATCTTGACATTCAGGCTTTTGTACACCTTGGTCCCTCTTCCAGGGTAACTTTCCCCTATAAAGCTTAAAGATCCACCTTACATGTCATCTCCTCTGTGAGCCAATCCTGGCTTCTTCAGGCAGAATCAAGTCCCTCTTTGACATCAGAAGTTTTGTGACCTTCACAGGTACCCCTTTGTTTTCTTATTTTTATTTGCCCTGGTACATCAGAAGGACTCAATAAATATTTGTGGAATGGCAAATAAGTGAATTTTCTTTTTTGTCTTCATTCAACAAATATATACTGAATGCCCAGTGTGTGTTGGGCACTGGGCTCACAGCAGTGAACAAGACCAACCTGTGGTTGAGGCTGAATTTTACACAAGCAAAAAAAAAGGGGGGGGGATGCTGGGCAAAAGATATATAATTTCACATCATTATTGTTCTGTTGTATGATACTTCAAAACCAAGATCATTATTATATCTCTCAAACATACAAATTAAGAATATATGTACATGTTCATTCCTCAATCTGAATGCTTAATAAATATGCTTTGTTTATATCACATCATGCTAAAAAATTCCATTACTGTTCCCAAAATCTGAAAGCATGAAACAAGGTTCACCAAGACCTGCCAGACCCATTTGTATTTTTTTTTTTTTTTTGAGACAAGAGTTTTGCTTTGTTGCCCTAGGTAGAGTGCAGTGGTGTCATCATAGCTCATAGCAACCTCAAACTCCTAGGCTCAAGTAATCCTCCTGCCTCAGCCTCCTGGGTAGCTGGGACTACAAGTACACACCAAGATGCCCAGCCAATTTTTCTATTTTTAGTAGAGATGGGGTCTTGCTCTTGCTCATGCTGGTTTCAAACTCCTGGGTTAAGCAATCCTCCTGCCTCAGCCTCCCAGAGTGCTAGGATTATAGGTGGTACCCAGCCCCCAGCTGAATTCTTTAAGCTTAAAATGCAGACTTCAAGTTCAAGAGATGTTGTCTTTGTGATTTCACAGTTACATCAAAGCTTGATGTCCTAAATTAACTGTGTTGCTAAAAGAGATTCATTTATTCACCAAATATTATTAAGATCCTACTATGTGACAAGCACTGACAAGCTCCTTGCCCTCATAGAATTTACATTCCAGTGTCTAGAAGAACGACGTGGGATAAGTATTTGGTAATATGAATTAAAACAAGTATTTGGATCTAGACTCTAACCTTTAAGCAGATTAGTCTACCGATCTGTCAACAAGTGTTTATTGAGTACCATGTGCCAGGCACTGTGCAAGGCAGTGGGGACAGGACATGAAATAAATTTAATGAACTCCAAACAGCATCTTTAAAGTGATATAGACTAGAATCAAATAGAAAAAATAACAAGACAAGGCCAGGTGTGGTGGCTCATGCCTGTACTCCTAGCACTTTGGGATGCAGAAGTGGGAGGATTGCTTGAACTCAGGAGTTCAAGACCAGTCTGGGCAACATAGTGAGACCCCATCTCTACAAAAACTAAAAAAAAAAGACCCTGTCTCCAAATATAACAGATATAAATGATAAATATTGTTTCACAAAATTTTGTTTCACATGTGCATGAGACTACTACTAGGTAGCAAATGTCAAATATTTTCTTACTATGATTCCTGATTAAAAAGTTGGAAAAACACTGGCTAGTGGGATGTAAAGGTCAAATAAAAGAATTGAAATGGAAAACCAAATGCCATACGTTCTCATTAATAACTGGGAGCTAACAGGTACACACAGGCACAAAGCAATATAAAGGGTATGAGAAACCAAGAAGGGTTGTAAGTTGGGAGGGTGGGTGTGGGATAAAAACTTACCTATTGGGTACAATGAACACTATTCTGGTGATAGGCACAGAAGCCCTGACTTAAGCATTATACAAGATATCCATGTAACAAGGGGGTAACTTGTACCCCCTTAATTAATATTTTGAAATAACTAATTAATAAGTTTTTTTAAAAAGAACTGAAAATATTTTTGTCAATATATTAATCAAAAGAGCAGCAAGTCTAGTGTCAAAGGAGCTCCATAAAAGCTGAGACTTTTATTTTATCTATCCTTAGCACCTATGACAGTGCTAGGCACATAGTAGGCCATCAGCAAATATTAGTAGTTGAATAAAAGAATGAACACTTACTCTTTGTTCAAGAATGCTACAAGGAATGCAAGCCAAGTAAGTTCCTACTGTAAATCTAGAAACTTAGAATCTAATAGGATAAGATGAAAATGCAAACAGAGCTCTGTATACAACGTAGAATATAAATGGCACCTGGGAAAAATGGCAAGGAAGGTGGCAGCACATCCAACGAGGGAGAATAAAGAGGTCTATGCAGGAAGTGACTTGAACTGAGTTCTAAAAGACGAGAATGTTTTGATAGCTAAAGATGGGTGATGAAGGGCAACAGACAGTCCAAAGAGTGTGTCATTAACAGCAGTGGTGTTTGATCTGAGTGAAAGATAATTGCAGGGGAGTTAAAACTATTTCTGGATGCCAGGCTGAGATATCTAAACTCCTTTGGAAGTTAATGGGGAACTACTGAAAACTTCTGAGCAGAGCAAGTGAAAGAGAAGTTTGGCAAGCAGTTAGTAAACACCAAGCACCCAAGTAAGTACTTCACATGCATTAAGCCTTTTAATTCTGCCAACAGCCTGGTGAGGCAGATAGTATTACTACTTCCACTTTAAAAGGAGTAGCTAAGCTGAGAGGTTCTGTCTTTGCACGATAAACAGCAGAAAAGAGGACTTCTAGATAGGTCTGGGTTAGAATACTTCAAAGTATTCATCTTGTACAACTACTCCAGCAGCGGCTGAGCAGGGAGATGCTGGAGAGGTGACCAGTAAGGAAAGAAGACGCCCCAAATGGCTCAGGGTGGAGAAGTCAGAGGCCGGAAAAAACAAACAAACAAACAAACAAACAAACAAAAAACAAGAAAGAACGTATGCACTGTGGTCGAGGACAGCACGGACAATTCGTTAGTCCTTTCTGGGCCACTGGCTCGCTGAGTGACCTTGAACAAGTCTCGTCCCTCCTCTGAGGACCAGATGTCCGCTCGGAAGCCTGCGAGACTAGCTGGCCCCAGGCGACAAGTGTGTGGCCTCCTCCGCCCGGCCCCGCCGCCCTCGGCACCCTCTCACCAGGGGAACTCTGGGCGCAGCCACCAGAGCACCCACGAGACTGTCTCCCCGCGGCGCCGGTCCGCCCGGCCCGCCCAGAAGTCACGCAGCGTGCGGCCTCTTACCCGGGCGTGCACCGTCCCCATGGGTCCCTCTCCAGCCGCCGCCTCACACAACTGTCCCGGCCGGACCAAGGATCCGCTGATGAGGGAAGAAGGCGGGTCCGCTGTGGCCGAGCTGCCGGTTAGCGCAACTCCCACAAGTCCCCGGACGCAGCCCACTGGGGGCGGCCATGATGCCCCCTTTCTCCCCGCCCCCTGGCCTCACGGTGCCTTCTCTCATTGGTCTCTATGAGCCTGTGACCCGGATGTTCACGCGAACGCCGGGAAATCCTGAGACCTGGAGACGGCACAAGCGCAGAGCGTCCACTGACGCCGACTGCTGGCTCGTGGAGGCGCGTCTGCGAGAGTGTTGGTTGGGCAGCGGGAGTCTGGCGTTGGCGCCTGGAGAGCTGTGGCCCGCTGACCGGTGCTCTAGGCCTGCGGTGCCTAAGCCCCGGGCCGTGGCCCGTACCGGTCCGTGTCCTGTCAGTAACCGGGCCGCGTCACCGCCTGAGCTCCGCCCCGCCATCCGTGGAAAAACTGTCTTCCAGGAGACCGGTCCCTGGCTTCAAAAACGTTGGGAACCGCTGCTCTAGGGCATCACACGGGTCTCTCTCTTAGCCCTCCTGGCGCCCGACCCGGTGCATGCTGTGCTTGTTCCCACGCGCCGGGGGAGCCCCGAGTCCTGCAGGGTCGGATCTCGTAGCATCTCGAGCTGCACAAGCCGAGACTGTCGCCCTGACGGCTCTCCTGCTGGCTGCGTGGACCCTTCGAGTCACTGGGATCCCCAGGGGCTGCGTTTCCTCACTGTCAAAACGAAGGTGATGGTCATCTCTGCGTCTCAGGGTCAGATTAAAAGGATAAGCGCATGGTCTCTACCAAAAATAGAAAAATTAGCCAGGCCGTGGTGGCGCCTGCCTGGGTTCCCAGCTAGTCGGGAGATTGAGGCAGGAGGATCGCTTGAGCCCAAGAGTTTGTTGAGGCTGCAGTGAGCTAGGATGACGCCACTGCACTCTATCCGGGGCAACAGAGCAAGACTTTGTCTCAAAATAAATAAATAAATAAATAAGGTGTGCGCACGAGAGATGGAAAGTAAAAGCTCCTGGCACAGTGCACAGCACACAGTAAGCACTGGATAAATGACCATCCATTCATCTACAACAGGAAATAAGTGAGAGCCGTCTAATTGTTTGGATAGGGGCCAGTCACATCAGTGAACAAGACAGCTATAGGCTTACACTTGGTGGCAAAAGAACTCCCCCACCTCAAAGAAACCACAAAATATAATAAACAACAGGCACACCTTGTGATAGGTACAATGAAAGAAACAAATGAGAGACAAAGAGTGGGAAAAGAAGAAGTCTCAGTATTATGTGGGTCGTGTTACCATTCCCTCCTGATAACATAAGCATCAGTATTTCACCTCCTCTTCTTCTCCCACTTACTCCCTCCCAGAGACCCTGACACCCTTTTCCATTTAAATAGCAGCCTCCCTGGGCTAAATATTCGAAGCCACATTCCCCTTCTTGCCTGCAAAGAGGCAGAACCCAGAAGCAGCCCGGCCCCTGCCCTTCCCTCACTGTGTCCCGCAGGTTGACCTGTCCATCTGTCTTCCCAGCCACACCGTGAGCCCCACGAAGGCAGGGGCCCAGACGGTCTGGTTCACTCACTGAACCCAGTGCCTGGCACCAATACTCTGTGAATATTGCTAAGTTACTGCTCTCCTACCCTGGACCAGGGCAGAGCCAATGCTCAACCTCAGCCATGAGCAGATGCCACCCATCCCCAAAGACAGAGCTGAGAGAGGGGACCCAGGAGGGAGGACAAGAAGTGTGGCATAATCCTCCCACCACCCGAACACTGGGCTCTCCAAGATGCCCACCAGGCCGTCCTGACTTACTCACTGCTATGTTCCCGACACTTGGAACAGTACCTGGCTCAGTAAATATTCGATGCCATCATCAAAATTGAAGGTGACATACCCCCCCACCCCCACTCCCAGCCCCAGCCCGTGTTCACAGTGTCCCTTCTGCTTAGGGTGCCCTTGCGTGGCCAGTCTGCTGTGAGTTGCCCATACGGCCTTCAAGGCTCAGCCCACATTGACCCACACTGCCCAAAGGTGAGGTGGTCACATCCCCTGACCCCCAGCCCCACCGTCACCAGGTGTCCACCCCACAGAGCGGTGCTTCTCTTAGTGTGTCCTGGAGAGTCCCTCTGAGGTGATTATTAAAAATGCATATTGCTGGGCCTTGGTCCAGACCTCCTGAATCAGAGTCTTTGTAAGGTAGAACCGGGAAATCTGCATTTTAAAGAAGTACGCCAGGCAATTCTTTGGTCCACTAGGTTTAAGAACTCATTTAAAAATACTTTTTTTCCATGTCTTCCTTCACCACTAGTTTCCAAAAGTCTTTGAAAACATGGGTCTTATGAGTAACCTGGTCAGAAATGGGCTAGAAGAGGGGCAGAGGTACATGTGGGGGCAGAGGAAGGCAGGGCATCGGCGGGGCTCAGGATGGGGGTCAGGGCAGATGCATGGCAGGCAGGACAGCCCCCCACGAAAGGAGAAGCCTGGGCAGAGCCCAGGCAGGGCCGCAGGAAGGAGTGTGGGCAGAACTGCGCTGGAAATGAGCTGTGACGCCAGGGAGGTCACAGTCCTCTGAGTGTCCATTTTCTCTACTGCAAAATAATGGGAGGGGATCGCTGAGGACGCCGCTTGTTCTACAAAAGATTTAAAAAATCTGTTTAGATTTCACAGTAGGAAGTAATAGGTCCTGAGCATTTGCAGGCTTTTAAGCCCACATTGGATCTCATTTGCCAGGCTATGACAGACGTCAGATTAGCTCCCGTTTAGCTCGCAGGAGAGCGGGCTTTATGGACAGACACGCTGGCCGGCACTCAGTCGTGATTCTGTTCCCAAGCTGTGTGGCCCTGGGCAAGGTACGTACAGTTCCGCTCTAGGTCAGAGTTTCCCTCTTTTGTAAAATGGGTGTGGTAAGAGCATTTGCCTCGGAGTGTGGCTTTGAGGATTCAGTGGGTTAAAACATGTCAAGGTGTGCCTGGCCCAACGATTAGCTGTCCCTGTTACCGTGTGCCCGGCACTGTGCTAAGTGCTTTCATAAATGGTCTTAGCCGCCATAGTAAGGTGTCCGGCCTTTAATAGAGAATGCAACTGCGGCCCTGAGAGAGTAACTAACCCTAAGTCCCCAGCTTGCGAGCCAGGCGGGACCCAGGAGTGTCTGACACGGCCCCCACGATGCCCCAGAAGCCTCCTAGCCCTCCATTCCCCTCTTTGGGCAATTTTGAAAGGAGGAGGGGACAGAAGGGGCTCAGTAACAGGCTGCAGCCGCCACGTTGTCAGTGAGGGAGGAGCTCCAGATGCTGTTCCCATTACCCGGCAGGACCCGCTCTGCCTCCTTTTGAAGCCGGTTTCACAAACCCAGACTTGGAAAGGCCACCCAGTGCCCTAGGCTCAGTGCCCATAGGCCCAAAAATCTGTCTCGACTTCACAGCAACCTGCCCCTGGCCACCGAAGTGAGGCATGCAGGGTCTTGCTGACACTGAGCTCAGATTCAAAAGGCTATGTTAGGTGTGAACAACTTGACGGAGATTTTCAAAGATAATCTAGGAGACTGAACAAATTATAAGCACAAGTCACACGAGCTGGACATTTACATGAAACTCATTCTACCTGTTCCCCGAAGCTCAATTTCCTCATCTGTAAAATGGGGACGATAGCAGTCTACGAGGAAATGTCTGGGGACTGAGTGAGACCAGGCATGGGGCCAGCACACTGTAAACATTGAATAAGCCAGATTCTCTTTCTCCAAACAATACCCTTTTTCTGCATGTCTTTCCTTACTCTTCTTAAGTGCTCTACTTCTAAAGGATAAGCCGTGGGGTTGCCCTGCAGATTGCAACAAGAGTCCAGAGCCAAATATTTGAGAGCCTGTTGTGTGCAAGGCCTTGGGGCAGGATGGCAGAAGGCACAGGTGGAAAACAAAGTCACATGCTTTACCCTCCCCATCAGTGTACAGCAATGTATCAAAGGCTCTGAGAAGTCCTGCAATGCATATTCCTATTTACTTCTCTGCAACCTGGTATTTCCTGAATGTATTGGGTCATAGAGACTTCTTGAGTTTGGTTTTTGAGGCTTTCTGTGGCCTTTGGCAGTGCTGTTCACTAGTATTTCTCATGCTCCTCATTTGGGCAAAAGGTAGAATTGCATTTCCCTGCCCCCCTCCCCCATTCATGTGTCTTGCTTTGGTCAACACACTGTGAACAAAAGGGGTGTGTCACTTCCAGATGAAAACGTTTAAGAACCGTATTTCTTTCACCTGCCACAGCAATCTCGGTCCTCCAGATGCTGGGACAGCTCCAGACGGGGTCTCGGAGTGAGGACAACTTAAAAAGAGCCCAGCCACGTCTGCTGGGCAGGCAGCCCGAAGAGAAATAAACCTTTTGGGTTTTGTTGTTGTTGTTGTTGTTGTTAATGCAGCATTGAAAGGGGCAGCCTTGCAAAAATAACAGGCAAATGCCTAATCCCACAATTGCCCCCATAACGGTTAAAGATCCATCCTGTGAGTTCTCTCATTAACAGGCTCTCTGCAGGAGGGGGTCCTGTTTGGCACAACTTCTGAAAAGAGCTGAATGAACAGAAAAGAGATGTAAATCTGTTTCTTTCAAAATTGTTTTTTTTTGAGACTCTGCTTTTTACAGCCTAAAGAGTCCCCGAGCGAACAGCAGGGTGTGAGCGCCAAGCCTCACGAAGGAGTTTCTGACGGCACCTGCCATTTTGACACCCCTTTAGAAAGCCTGGCAGCCGCTGTCAGGCAACACACCCTTTCTCTTTCCACCTCCGGCCGGTGCTTTCCCAACCGCCCAGGGAAAAGTAAATAAACCTTTTCTTCCTATCCTAATCTCTGTCTGGGGAAATCTTTCTGGAAACCCGTGTGCACCAGGATCGCTACCCTAACAGGCATAGTCTAGCCTACCCTAGAAAGTTCTGCAAAGAACTCAGCATTCCAGAAAACCCGGTGTACGAAGTGCTTATCTGGTCTGCTCAGAAGTAGAAATGCAGTTTAGTGGCTACACTGGTTCCCTTAGTAAAATAAAGCCCCAAGTCCCATTGGCCATGTGGAGGGGAGGCGTCACCCCACGTGACCTTGGAGGGGTGAAGGTGCCGGTGAGAGCAGGGGGCCAGGGAGAGGCCCACAGCGGGAGGAAGAGGCTCTGAGCTGTGGGTGGGGCTGCAGGGGAGGCCGGGGCTCCTAGGGAAGGCTGGGCTGGGTGCAGGGTGCTCGGTGGCCTGGCAGCAACATGGAGGGCAGATGGGCCCCAGGCTGAGAGGCTGAGAACAGGCCTCGAAGCTCTTGCACAGCCCAGGTGGCAAGTGCTGGGCCTCACGGGGGCAGCAGAGTGCTGGGGAAGAGGCCACATTCCAGAGATGTTAGTGGAGGCAGGTCTGGGGTTAAGTGCCCAGTTCCAGGCTCCGGTGGCTTGGAGCTGGCAGAGCGTTGGCGCTCTACTCTGGGGGGCTGAGGCTCAGGTGCTTTCTGTGCTGAGTGGAGCCAGCAGGTGGACTTGACCTCGTCACAGCCAGAGACAGGAGAGGGTGCTCGGAGTGAGTGGGGCCTCCCTGGGAGCCCCTGGTGCACACTTAGCAGAACAGCCATGCCGGGGCCTTGGAGACCAGCCCAAGGCCCAGAATGGAGATGGGGTGGCCTGAGAATCCGGGGTTCCAGAGGAAGCAGAGAGATTCCAGGAGGGTTTGGTCCACAGTGCCCAGGAAAGAGCTCCGGGGCTGTGGCAGCCTGGAGGCCCCAGTCAGGCATGGCGAGGAAGACTGCCCCGCAGGAGCCTGGCCATGACAGAAGCCCGCCACACCGAGGCTCCCTGGAAAGGGCGCAGAGACGGGGAAAGCACTTGGAAAATCACGTTTATTAAGAGTTATTTTCTGATGCTGAAAGTAATGCGTGTTGTTCGCCATAGAAATTTAGAAAACACACATAAGCACAACAAATAAAATACAATTACATTTCTGACCAGCCTGAGCAAGACCCCATCTGTACAAAAAATAGAAAAATTAGCCAGGTGTGGTGACGCGAGCCTATAGTCCCAGCTACTCGGGAGGCTGAGGCAGGAGGATCGCTTGAGCCCAGGAGTTCCAGGCTGCTATGAGCTAGGCTGACGCCACGGCACTCTACTTGGGGCAACCAAGTGAGACTTTGTCTCAAAAAAAAAAATACAGTTGCAAATAACAGCCTAATGATTACTATAAATATGTTGGTATACATTCTTTCGGTCTTTTTTCTATGTATACACACACAGATACATAAACACACCCACACACATTTTATTTTTGTAACAAAATTGGGCGCATGCTCGGCACTAAGTTTTGCTATTTACCAAATAAAGACTGTTGCTCCCTGATATTACATACACTACACGTTGATTATTCCTGAGTGGTTTGTTCCAAAGCATAAAAGCACCATACATTAAAGAGAAGGCTTGATTGGACGAGGTGGAGGAACTCAGACCGTTTTCATATACTTCCCTGGAGGCGGTTCAGAGGGGAAGGCCTGGAGGCAGTGCCTGCTGGGATCTTCCTAGGGGCTGGCAGGGAAGGAGGGCAGGGTGGCATTTGAGGCACAGGCGGGAGGGAGGCCTTGGCCATTTCTAAAAGAGCTTTACACTTCCTTACTTCCTTCTCTTAGTACACACTTAATAAAAATTATAAAACAAGTGCTCGTTTTAAGAAGGTCGAGTAATTTTATAAAAGCAGAAAGAAAATAAGCCCCATGGTATCCCATCAGCCATTTAACATATTTGTTCCCCAATAATGGTCACAAAACCCATATATGTATCTGTCTATATGGAAATACACTGGTTAGAAAGCACTGGTAAAGTTTAGTTATACCAAATTCAACTAATGACCGAAGATGTGGTTCCAACAGAGGAGAGACAGAAGGAAGCCTACTGGGAAACTTGGCAAGGTATGAGGGTGTGTTGCTAAGAGTCCAGGTGGGTGTCAGGTGTGGCCTCCCCCACCCCATTCCAGCTCTGGGGGGGGGCAGAGCCTGGCTCTGACACCCAGCGGGGTGGCAGGTGGAAGAGCCCACCACTCACCAGCACTCAGCTCCCTCGGGGGCAAGCACTCAGCCCCTGGGGAAGGAAGGACCCAGGTTCAAACTCCTGCCCTGCAGGGGGCTTCCGTGCACTAGGTGACCACTCCTTATTTCACAATCTCGTCAAGAGAACAGGCTCACACGGAGTTTGCCCCAGAACCACACCTCCCCACTCCTCAATAAAGCGCTTCGTCCGAACTTGCCAGCTCTTCCACTCCAGGCCACTTGCACAATACAGGTGAGAGTCGTAACCTTCTTTGCCACCTTTAGGAGTTCGAGCACATTACTGTTTCTTTCGTTTTTTTGCTTTTGTTATATCTATATCTATATCTACGTCTATATCTATATATATATATCTTACACTCAAATGCATAGCTAGGAAGAAACACACACATTTCATCTGCGGTCATATTACAGGGAGCTTGCTAACGCACTCGTACACCTGGGCAAAAGGTGGCTTCTCGTCTCAAAGGCTTGCCCCAGCAAGCCTGACAGAGTAGGAAGGACAGAGACAGGCTGAGGCGGTGAGAGAATGCAAAGAGAAAAAAAGGAGGGCAGGCCAGAAGCGTGCAGTTAAAAAGGAGCCGAGTTCGGCCAGGCCGTGGTGGGGACGCCAGCGGCAAGGTGGTGGCCACTGCCGGCCGGTGACCGCCTTGCAGGCTGGTTTTTTATTTTTTTAAAGCTTGTTCTATTAACATCTCACTGATTCACACAATACACAATTCAACAGATAATACAATCCCCTTACGTTTTAGAAATTATTTTAGTTAGATGAAAAAGGTGTTCTAAGATGATGTAAGTTATCACCTTTTAATGTCATCTGACAGGTGGTGCCCTTCATGGGAAACGACTGCACCCCGTCCCCCTGCACTGACAGCTTCCTAGAGGGGCGGGGAGGTCACGCTTCTGTCTTCCTCCCACCCCCAGACTGCACAAAGGCCAGCCCAGCCCCTGACCACGGGGCCCCGCCATTCTAGGAACCTCGCAGGGGGACAGTCCAACCACTGGCAGGGCTGTGAGACAGAGCAGGTGACGGACCGCTGTGCTGGGCTTCCACTGCCATTTCCCAAGCAGCTGAGCTAAGTGACACTCAAACACTGGATTTCCTTAAGCGCCGGACTTCCGCATATTTCACAGGTCACTTCCTAGCTTTCCATAAAACCAAGCCCACTGCCTTTGTGGGGTCATTGCACAGCAGTAGCTGCTCGAGGCTCGGGAAGGGTGAGGACCTCCGAAGGAGCTGCCCAGACTTGCCTCCTCAAATGCCCCGGCCACTCCCCTCCAGTGGAAAGCGGGAGGCGGAGCGCCCTGCACCCCGCAGGCACGCTGCTGCCCGAGGAGAAGGTCGGGCCGGATTTCAGGATGGACTGCGGGGTGGCCTCAGCTTCAGCCCCTCTTGGACAGCCCGTGGGACAGCACCCAGGTCCACACAGAAGCGGGGGATCTCCACGTGCCGGCCGTGTCTGGTTTGCACGGAGAGGCCTTTGGGCCGCTTGCTGGCATTTGGGGTCTGAAACAAACACAGAAAGTCCGCTCAGCGGCCACTCTCGCTGCGCTGAGGGGTGCAGTCTCAGCGAGGGCGGACCCCCTGCGTGCTCTGGGCCCTGCGGGTGGCCCAGCCCAGGCCCACAGCTTCCTCCAGCCCTCAGAGCTGGGTAATGTCACCATCCCGGCCTTCTAAGCCTGTGGCCCTCCCAGCCACCTGGACACCTCCCACTGGAGACCACGGATGTCACCCATCAACGAGTCCCCAATGGGCCTCTTGGTTTCCTCCACACAAACCTGCCTGCCCGCCAGGGAGCCCTCCCACCTCCTGGCACCACCGACACCAGTCCCCAGGCCTGGCCCTCCCGCTCAGGGGGGAGGTCACCAACACCAAGGTGACCGACACCCTGGCAGCAGCCCTGTTGCTGGTGAGCCTGCTGCCGCCTGGGCCCGGGACCCACCCTCCACACGGACACCACTGCCACCTTCCCACTGCAAACCAGATCCCGCCCTGCCCCACCTTCAAATCCTCCCACGTCTGCCAATGAAATGCCCGCAGCAACAGGGGTCCTCCTATCCCCTATGGCCACCGTGAGCCACGCACTGCGGGATGGACTCTCAGAAGCTCACGGAAGCCCAATGATGGGGACTGCCCCCACTGAACAGATGAGAAAACTGAGGCCCACGATTTTCAGGCTAGGCCCAACCCTCATAACTGGAGCAAGCCCCTTCTTGGTCTGGACCGAGTTTTCGGAAGCCAGAAAGTAGCATCATGGCCCGGGTGGCCGGCAACGACACAGATTGCCGGTTCCGCCCCCAGGGACTGTGATTCGGAGGCCGGGGAATCTGCGCTACAGGCACCCCGCCACACCCGCTCTGAGAAGCGCACGCTGGCCCTGCCGCCCCCTGTGCGGGGGGCACCGGGGCCCCCTCCTCAGGCACCCAGTGCTGTCTGGCACCCCCGGCCCCCACGCTGAGCCCTCCTCTCCTCTGCCGGCAACACTGGGCTCCACGGACACCCCTCGGGGAGGCGGGTCTGGTCACAGACTTCAGCAGATCGCTGGGACCTCTGGGGACGCCTCGGCCACCTCCAAGACAGGGCCCAGCGCTCAGCCAAACGCCTCCAGAAAGCTACTCGAGGCCTGGTGCACGAGAGAGGCGCCGTCCGGCCCGCACGCCCACAGCCGTCTACCTGGCCGAGGGGAGCAGACGCGCCATCACTCTCGAACTGATCTTCGAGGTCGCCTGCTGCATCCACCGCACGTCCTCGGGAACGTCAGGAAGCCACGCCACCAGTCTGCAGGAGCGAAACCGAGTCCATCAACACACGCGTGCGCAAATGTGTGTGCGCACACACACACACACGCACACACACACACACGCACACGCTCACTGTGCCGGCATGAAGAAAAGCCAAAGTAAGAGCAAAACGAAGCTAAGCCAGGACCAGTGACTTACAACAGCAGCCTTTGTCCTGGAAGCTGCTGGCATCGCCTCTAACTGCAGCCTGACAGGTGCCCGGGGGTGGACGTGCTGTGACGAGGATGAGCCCACCCACAATCTCCAACGCCAAGTGAGGCCACGCATGGTCGAGAAAGCTCAAGGGACTTAAGCGGAACTAAAAGGGAAAGACCCTGGCTGTCCAGGGCTCTGCTTGTCTCCGAGGGATGCGGGGGCACTGCCAGCTGCTGCAAAGTGTCTTGCGGTCCAGCTCTGCACCTGCACTGAGGCCCGCTGTCCCTGGTCACCTGCGAGCCCGGCAGGGGCACCGTGGGATCCGGGATGCGGAAGCGGGCGGATTCCGGAGGGGGTGAGGAGGAGGACTCTGGGAGGCTCTCCAGGGAGGGAGCGGAGCTGGATTTTGAAGGAGGACTTGGATTTTAAAAGACACACTGAAGGACACGCGGGACTAACTTGCTAAAGAGAAAGTAAACACGGAAGTGATCTGAAGACGGATGAAGTAAAGCCAGTGCCCAACCCCGGCACACACGGGGCTTCGCCTCCGGCCCACCCAGCGTAGCATGGACCGAGCCCCATGGACAGGTGCAGACCTATGAGAAGGGACACATCTGTGAGAGAATGAGAAAGGAGGTGGGTGGGGGGGACTCCCTGAGCGGCAAGAGATTTCAACAGAGCGCTGGACACAGGTGGGAGGGGGAGGGGCGGGGGGGGGGGGGGGGGGGGGCTGATGAGACCGGCAGAGCCAGCCCCTGCCCCAGCCCGCCAGTGCTACCAGGAGCAAAGCCTGACAGTTCAGCCAGCGCTCTGGGGAAAGAAAGGGTTTCTAGAAAAGAGGTGGCACCCCCAAACAGACTTCCCTCCTTCCAGCAGTGGGAGGCCCCCAGCCTGCCTGGCAGCTCTGCCAAGTGACACACCTGTCCCTTCTCACTGAGCTCCCGTGCAGGGAGGAGACCTGGGTGGAAAGCAGACCGATGCCCATCACAGCACAGAAATCCAGCCCTGCAGTCCTCTGGTCTACACAGCAACGGAGCACCACAGAGCACGTGCCGAGACAGGTGTGAAAGGAGAAAGATGAAGAACAGAACTGCCAGCTGGGACTGGTGGCGCAGCCTGTTACTCCAGCACTGCTGGACAGAGGCGCGGATTGCTGAGGTCAGAGTTCAAAACCAGGCCTTTAGCAAGGACCCATCTCTACTATAAATAGAAAAAGATTAAGTTGGCAACTATATATATGAAAATTATGGCATGAGGTGCATGCTGTAGTCCCATGCTACTCGGCGAGGTGGGAAGGATGCTTTGAGCAGTGGAGTTGAGGTTGCTTAGTGAGCGAGCTGTGACGCACAGCACTACTGTAGCCTGGGCAACAAAGCGAGATCTGTCTCAAAAAAAAAAAAAAAGAAAAAGAAAAACTGGCCCAAGAAGAAATGGAAAAGGGAACATTCAGAGGATAGGAATATACGACGAGAATTAATCATAAAAGAACAGAATGTTAAGAAAAAAGAACAAGCAGAGAACAAGAGAGTTAGAAGGCTAAATATTTAGCTGTGAAATGAAAAGGTATAGAATGGGGTGGCGCTGCGGTCAGTCTATTATCCAGCCCTCTGGGGCAAGAGGAGATGGCTTGAGGTAAGGAGTTCGAGACCGACTGAACAAGAGTGAACCGCCCCATCTCTACTAAAAAAAAAAATAGGCCCGCGTGGTGTGTACTCCTAGTCAGTACTCGGGAGGCTGGGCAGAGATCGCTATGAGCCAGGATGTGAGGTTGCTGTGGAGCTAGGCTGACGCACGCACTTAGCCAGGAACAGAGGAGATCTGTCTCAAAAAAAAAAACAATAATGTAGGAATAGACGGGAAGATAAAATCTGGGGCTTATTCACAGCAGAGGCAAAAAAAAGGACGAAGACAGATGAAAAATGTGGGAAAGAGAGAGTCAGACAGAAAGACAGGATCCAACCCAGGAGGTCAAACGCCCATGTAATAAGCGCTGCAGAAAGAGAAAATAACGATAATGGGAGAGACAGGATTACAGAAATAACCGCAGTCAACCCTTTCCCAGAGCTGGAGAAAAGACGAAGGCTTTGGCTGAGAGTCCCCGGTGACCGGCCAGCAGAATAAATGGAAGAAAGACTCACACCCAGCCATGGCCTCATGAAATTTCAGACCATGGGGGACAAAAAGCCAGTCCAAGGGCATCCGCCTGCCAAGAAGTGAGACTGTGACCGGCAGTGACTCCTTGATACCAGGTCTGGGCGGAATGCTGTCCAAGATTCCGGGGGGATGATTCCCAACCTGCAACTGCACCTGCGGCCAACCTGCCCAGCGGACGGGGCAGGAAATGAGCTCCTGTCCCAGCAGGCGTCACTTCCGTGGGAAGTGGCCGGAGGCCCCACTCCAGAGAAACAAGGGAAAAGCCATGAAAAGGGAAGATACAGGATCCACGAAACAGGGGTCCCGGGATGGGACGTGGCAGGACGGAGCTGTGGGGTGGACCTGCAGGCGCCCGCCTGGGTGGAGCCAGACAGGGAGGACTCTGGGAGGTCCCTGGACAACCGGCGGGGCCGGACCCTCGGGAGGACCTCACAAACCCGCTGCCGACGGCCGGCCGGCACCCTTCCAGGAGCATTTCCCAGGATTCCCCGGGAATCTGAGTCTTCACTCCTCGAAGAACATGGAATCTGAGATTATTTTAATCGCTTCCATGTTAAATTGTCAAGCCCAGGGCCAAGTCCACTGGTGGCTTGGGGCCTCTTCACGGTCGGCAGGTCGCGCCTGCCCTCCTCCCCTTCCCTGGACTCCCTCCCGGCCCCTATAACCCCATTCCCGATGTCTCTTAGCTCAACTTTTTTTTTCAGTCAGATCAGGGTAATTTTTTTTTTTTTTTAATCGAGTGCTTCCCACTTCCTGGCAATCCACCGAGACAGTTTTTCTTATCTAGGTATTACAGAAGAATACACCGAGGCTCAGAGAAGTTGAGTAACTTGCCTGAGGTCACACAGCTTAGAAACTGCAGAGCCCTGGTCTATTTCTAAAGCCCATATTCTTATCTGTCATCCAGTTTTTGCTCTCATTGTTATTATCTGAAAACACAAATCAGCAGCGTTGCTAACTGGGTGCTTACTGTGGCTAAGCACAGCGTGCACGGCACCTCCTAGAGACTCCTGACCGCCCGCTAATTAGGTGATTTCTCTAACTACCCTGACTTCCCAGACAAGCTGCAGCACAGAGAGGTCAATTCAGTTGTCCAGGGCCACACAGCTGCAGTAAGCAGTGCAGGCAGGATTTGAACCAGGGCAGTCTGACTACTACGCCAAGCTGCTGACCCTCTGCCCCCTGTTTCAGGGGAAGCCGGATCAGTAAGTTTTAGGAGCACCTCGCTTTGATCTCCTAATCGATGACTCTGAATCATATGAACAAACTACGGCTAGAACGAAAGATGGGAGTCCCTAAACTCTGCTCCCTTCATGTGATTTTAAGGGGAAACTGGCCCGCTAGCCAGCCCTGTGACCGCAGAGCTGTGACCCCAGACCCTCTGGGCCTCGGTTTCCTCAGGCCCCCATGAGAGGCTGGACCAGGTGCCATACGAGTCCACTGCCTGGGGGTCCCGAGTTTGCGGTGTGTGACAGGTGCACACGGCCGTGAGGACGGGCGGGCAGCTTTCGGGGACCGTGAGCCACGTCCCGCTGTGCAGGGAGCCAGGCCCCAGGCCCAGGGCCTCGCGGCTGTGAGCTCCGTCCCCACGCCAGCCCCGCGAGGAGGACAACGTCACGGAAAATGCTCACCGCTGGGTGAAAATGACAGCAGACTCCACGGGCAGCGTGCAGGGCAGCATCACGTAGGACATGATCTTGACCGGAAAGAAGTTGCAGATCCTGCTCATGTAGCCCCCTCTGTCCATGACTGCTCTGCTCAGCGCTGCAAAAGACAATCTGCAGCTGCAGCTCCCTCCGGTGTGAAGGCCCAGCTACTTCGCTCCCGGACGCGCCGAGTTGCCGGGAAGCACGCGGCGCTGGCCGCGGCAGGGTCAGGCGCGTTCCGGGTGAGACACGAGCTGGGGTCTGCCAGCCTGTCCCTTCCAGGGCGAGTGGGGGACGTGGCTCAGAACGGCCCTGAGGGACACACGGCTCCCATGTCGCAGCTCTCTTAAATGGACAAATATGTTTGGAAGCAGCCGTTCCAAAAAGCCTTTTTTTTTTTGAAAGCCAGGGCCATTTTCAATGTCACAGCTGAAATTCAATAGATGCTGGTGTACAAGTCACGAGGCCAAGCACCATGCTGCACAAAGGAGTCGGCTACGGCCCGCGGCACAGCCGAGCACGGAAACAGCCGCGCCGGCTGCAACGGCACATTCGTCCTACAACCCGCTCAAACGCCCCACGCCGGGCCTGACCTCTCGGCTGGATCCAGCACCTTCTTCCTGCAGCCCCAGCCTTAGACTTCCCCTGATGACCTTGTGACCCCTCGAGTCTCCCGATCTTTCGGGTGTTTGCACCCCGAGGGCCGGGAATCGTGTCTGACTCATCTTTGAACCTCTCCTGCCGCCTGACTCAGAAGCTGGCCCGTGGCTCCATCTGTCTGCCTGGCTCAGTCTGCTCAGGCCTCTATGACAAGACGCCACTGGCTGGTGGCTTATAAACAACAAACATTTATCTCCCGCAGTTCTGGGAAGTCCCGGATAAAGGCGCCGGGAGACGTCCTGGTGTCTGGTGAGGGCTCCTTCTTCGCGGACAGCGCCTCTGTGTCCCCAAGGGACGAAAGGGCTCCCTGGGGCCTCCCAAAGGCCCTGCCTCCTAAGACCACTACTTGAGGGGTTAGGATTTCAGCACACAGATTTGGGGGGCAGGACACAAACATTCAGACCAAACCACTGTCCATTTAATATTTGGTGACATTAAAAAATACAGCACCATTCAGTGGAGGTTCAAAACTGTGGCTTGGGGAAAACTAGTGATTTAGGAGAGGCCTCGAGAAAGGAGGCCTTGAGGTGGGAGGATGGTGGACAGTGGCATTCTGAGTAAGGGGCCGAGTCCCAGTGGCCGGACCCCCGGCCCAGGGTCCACACACCGGCCACAGACACAGCTTAGGAGCCGTGCCGGGGACACGGACAGAGCCGGCAAGGCGAGCGAGGGCCCGGCTGCTGCCGGCAGGAGCCTGTGCGGTCAGCCCAGTGGGCCCAGGTGGCGTTTGTTTGCCTTCTGATCAGGACCCCATGAGATGGGAGACGCGGCAAGGCGCTGGCATGGGCGAGGCCTGTGCTGGGAGGTGGCGACCCCAACCTGGGCCCGTGGGGGGGGCAGTGACGCTCCCCACCGGCCTGCCCTGGTCACTCTGTGCATCACTCCCCACGTGGCCGCTTCACCTTCCTCCTTCGCACACACTTTCACTCTCTCGGACTCTCACAGGACACATATGTGGCCCCTGCGCACCCCAAGGAGCCGGTACCTCTAGTGAGCGTGGGCGAGAGGGTCCCCAGAATGCTCTTATCCCAAGGCAGGATGCCCTTGTCCCAGGTCAGGATGCTCTTGTCCCAGGGCAGCATGCTGAGGCCCAGGCGGTCCAGCAGCTCAGCCCCCTCGAGCCCCGTCTCCGTGGCAGCCGGCCCCAGGGAAGACTCCAGGCTCATGTTCTCCCAGCAGGGCCCAGCGACCTCCGACTCCTTGTCTTCTGGGGGCAACTCCGGGAACGGCTGCGGCCTGTTACAGATGCCTGCAACAGCACGGAAAGCAAACCGTCAGGCGGCGTGGGAGGCGAGAGGATCGTACCCGCCCCTGCCCCCGGTGGGCTACAGCGCAGGTGAACCACCCCGAGGGAAACTGCCGGCCTGTCATTAGCAAAGTCCAAGGGGAAGGGGGCCGGTGTCTGTCACACAGAGAAAGAAGAGTGGGGTTTGAAGGCAGACGCATGTTGAGTTCAGCTCCTGCTAGCTGTGTGGGCTCCATCTCCACGTCTGGACTCGCGGGTGGAGACACAGGGTTGTAACTAACACACTAACGGGCCGCTGGTCCAGCCTGCCTTCCAGACCCGGAGCCCCGGCGCCCAGCCGTCCGGCCTCGCGGCAGCCACGCAGCCAATACCAGCATCGTCATCTGTTTTTCAGCAGAGGAATCAGAAGCACAGAGACTGTCACAGATCTGTCTGAAGCCACACAGCTAGTCTGTGGCAGGGCCAGGATCCGCAGTGGGGCCCGAGGTCAAAGGGGGCCCCCTCACACAGCCTTGCAAGCCTTGCTGCTCGAGGAGCGCTGGCACCCGCACGTGCCAGGCCCTGCCCTGGGCGCCGGGACTCAGCCGCCCACGCCGGCGAGGGGCCTTGTTCTCGCAGAATCCACACACGGGCCAGGGCCGGCGGACAGGTGGTTTCAGGCGCCCACGGCCGCACCTGGCCCAACTCTCGCTTGCAACCCCAGGTTAGAGAGACCAGGCACTGCTCCTTGGTGCCCGAGCTTTGCTCCCCGGAGTAACTCGCATTTGTGCCTCCCCCAAGCTTTCCAGGCCTCTATCAGACACACTCGTCACCCCCGGAGAAGTCACCTTCCCTTGGGTGTGTTGAAGGAATCTGTCCCCAGAGAGATGATGCCTCGGGACACGCGGTGGCCAAACCAGTGAGCAGAGCCCTGTGTGTGCCCCGCCTCAACTGCCGTAGCCACAGCCGGGACCTCGCCCTAGCGGTGACTTCCTCTTCCCGAATCTCCTGTGGGTCGTTTCCAAACCCTGTTCCCCTGGGCCCCGTCGAATTGGTTTCCTTCTCACCACCCTCACCACCCTGACCCCAGCCAAGCCTCCCACTGTCTCACTGGCCTCCTGCAAACGGGTCTCCCACTCCCGCTCCACCGCCAGGGGGCTTCCAAAGCTCCCTTCTGACGCCCCTCCCTCCTGTTTCCACAGCCATCAGTGGCTCCCTACTGCTGCGGGATGCAACCCTCACCCCCCCTACCAGGTCCACGAGGCCCGGCCTGCCCCTCCACTTTCACTTACCGCCGTTCTGCCCCTCCTCATCCATCTCTTAGTGCTGTGCCCCTAGCACCACCACCCCAGCCGCACGGGCCTTCCTTCCACCCTCTCTATGTCCTGCAGGCCTCACATCCACGGCCCCCATTCCTAGAGCTCTCCTACTCATCCCCAAAGTCTCAATGCAGGTTCAGATCCTTCTGGAAGCCCCACTGTCCTCAGGCCCTAGAGACCCCACGGCACCCTGCGTCTTCCCATCAGCACGCCACTGTGCTCACTGATCAGCCCTCTCCCCCCAAGAGACCCACAAGCCCACGTCTCTTCGGTCACTGCAGTGTCCCCGGCACACAGCCAATTGCTTGCACAGTGAACACTGTCCGAGAAGATCAACACATGTGTGGCCAAATAAACACGGCCTCCCTGGTCTTGGCCAAAGACTGAATCAGAAGATCAATACATTAACCAACTTTTAGTATTAAAAAAAATAGCTCCAAACACACCTAATATTTGATTCTGGTCTAATATTTCCCTTTTTTTTTTTTTTAAACACGCAGGAGACTGAAACACTCTTATATTTCTAGAGCCCACTCCGCCAGCCTGGAGAAGCCAGGATGACTTGAAGCCAGGATCTTGGCTTGGGAAGGAAAACAAACTGGCCTTTGGATGTGACCGCACCTGGACTCTGACGGCTTCATCTGGGGCTGGGCCCCAGAAGCCCTGCCAGCTTCAGCCCTTGTTCAGCTGAAGGATCACAAGTTGGAAAGAAAAACAAGCTGCCTTCAGATGTGGTGACACCGCGGAGGGACAGAGGCCTGGAGCTGTGACATCTCAGTCTGGGTCCCGGCTCTGCCCCTCAGGGAGGGGGTGCTCCTGGGCTCTCCTCTCCAAGCCTCCGTTTCCCCAAGTGACCGATGGGGCAAAGGTTCCCTATGTCAGGGCTGACGAGCAGGTGGAGTATGACAGGGGAGGCGTTGAGCGCCGAGTGATGGATCCAGGGCAAAGCTCCAGTTTAGCCCGACTGCTAACGACGCTCGCTGAGAGGGCCCACCGGACCCTCCCGGCCCGTACTTACCTGTCTCTTCCAAGAACCGCAGCGCGTCCAGATATCCTCGAAGGCATAGCTCTCCAAGCACCTGTGAGCAGATGGAGCGAGTGACTGCGGGGGAGTCACTAAGTGCCTCTATTCAAACGTCCTCCGAAGATTGCCGAGGAGAACCGGAGAACCGTCCAGCCCCAGAGCTGCTGTACATGCTGAGCACGGCCACCTCGAGACTGAACAAAGCGTTTTGCACTCCCAGGAGACAGTCTCCCGTGGGACTGGGCTCGAGTGTCACCACTCCACGGAGACTTTGCTGGCACCCCAGCATGACAGGGGCTTGTGTCTCTGCGCTCCCTTGGTCCTGGGATAAGCCTCCCCCATAACAAATCTCAGGGCCTGCCCTAACTGCCACTAGGACAATAAAGCTGCCTCCTCCACTCACCTGTGTAGGAACCACAGGAAAACCAACCCTCTTACAGTCTCCCTCCCCTGGGCGCCTGCACGACTGTGCGCAGCGCACCGTACAGCCGGCTTTCTCCCCAGGAGCACCGCTGTTGGCGCACACGGCCTGCACGTTCTCTACGTGAGGGGGTGAGGCAACCTACAACAGCAGCAATCAAAACAGGTTCAACCACCCAGTGTGGCGGCTCTTGACCATGGCTGCAATGAACAATCATCTTGGTAACCGAAAAAGCTAAAGGCTACACCCCCCCTACTTAAACCACAGTCCCCGGAAGTGGGAGCCGAGCTTCAGGCCTGGGTGTATCTTCCCAGGCGATTCCCGTTACCAAGGTGGTGCGTCCCCGAGCTTCTGGGGCAAACACCTTTTCTTTGAGTTGATTGCCAACAGCACTGGTGACAATTCGGTCTGATTGCACAGATAACAACTGGCATCTCCAGGGAGGCAAAGAAGAGCTGCACACACACACACCCCCAAACACGCGCACTCACCTTGGGCTCCGGGGGGTAAAGCGCTCTCATAAGAAGGTGGATGTTCTCTGAGCAGATGCGCAGTCTGAAGTTGCTGATGTTCACGTGAAGAAAGTTCGTGGACCTGGTTTTAGGGCAGATGTCATACTCCCCGTAGAAGGGGGAGACAGTGATGGTCGTTTTGGCATCAAGTAAGGGCATGTTGTCACTCGCTCCTCCGTCTACATATCGCTTTTAAGGTAGAGAAAGAAAGCCCGATAATGTCTGAAGCTCTGGGCTAACGTTTAATACGTTTTCAGACCAGAGCCACACACAGGCTGACACGCTGGGACGACAGTGGCTTTGGAACCACTCTTGCAACAGACCCTTACTGGGTATGTTTGTGCCAGGCCAGGCTCCACACTGGCGCTCAGCGTTGCCGTATGCTGTTGTACAGTAAGTGCACTGCACCAAAGTGCCTGGCAAAGAGGTAGACGGAGACTGCAGCCCCCCAGCGCTGTGCTGGCCAAGCCGCGTGGGCGGGCAGGCACCCGGAGGTATGCCCGTGTCATGGGCGTGAAGGGGCCACGTGAACGAGGGGTGCGTTACGCACTGGGAACAAGTGTGATGCACACCCAAAGAAGACAGATGTCAGTGAATTCAAACCCAGACACCCTTGCTTGGGAAACCTGGGAGAAGGTATCTAACCTGTGGGCCGTTCTCCCTCCACACCCTGAAAGTGAGAAGCGGTGACTTAAGGGGCTTCTGAGACAAATGAAACAGTGCACCTAGGACCCAGACAGCTCTCAAAAAACGTCCTGTAAGGGGTAGTCACCCTCCTGTGGTTTCCCCTTCACATTCAGTGAATGTGTCTGCCTCTTTCTGCAGTAGAAAAAGAAAAAGAAATGTCCTTGTATCCCACAGTGAAGTGGCACTTTGGATAAATCCTTCTTAGGATGAGTTTCCTTTCCTTTTACATCCCTGAGCAAAGGCTCAGTAAGGACTGCAGATGTAGTACCTGGCTTGTGACAGATATCTCCTAAGTGTGACTTCCCCCTGCCACATGCCTTTGCCTACGCTACCTACAGGATTCTATCAAATATCCTGTTAGCGTTCTCATGTGCTCAGACGTGACTCCTAGAAGGCTAGTTATTTTCAAACCTAAACTTCCCTTGTGCATCGCAAAGCGGCAAAACAAAATAAAGCAAAACCCTGTTAGGCCAGACTCACAGCCTGTTGTGTTTTTTTTGGTTTAGGAAATATATGACTGCTATACTTCCCCGTAAGAATAAAGCTCTACCTTACTGAGCGACGGATTCTCCAGTGCCTTATACTTTAACTAGGCCACGGGGAAGCTATCTTCCGTGCTCGTGTGAGCCAGCGGCTCGCTGGTTCGGACAGCGAGATAATGAACTACGCGGGAAGGAAGTTTTGCCTCCCCGGCGGCCTGCAAATAGGGCCGGCTGCGGCTTCGCTGTGGGGGAGGCTGCGAGGGCCAAGGCTCCGCATTCACACAGTCAGGGGAGCCTGACACTGGCGGCTGGGCTCCTGGGCAGGAGCCGTGTGACACGCCTTACGTGGGAAGCCGCGGCCCCGCGCGGCAGCTGTGGGAAAGCAGACTCACCACGCCTCGGAAGGTGGGGGGGATTAAGCCGCAGTAGACAGGGATGAAGCAGGAGCACAGCAGGGCCTGCGGACACAGAGGGAGTGAATCCACGTTTTTCCCTGCTCCTGCATAACAAGCCTTCCACAAATGAGTGAGGCAAGGAATCTGTAACACGCGGGGTGAACTGACATGCGCACAGGTCCTGCAGGCCCGTGGTCTCAGCCACGGCGCGAGCTGCTGAACAGCACTGCCCTCGGCCTTCGACTTCCTCTCCTTGCTCCCCACGAGAGCCGCACTGGGTCTTCGCAGACAGCACCCAGGTTTGCTGACTCAATGACTGGAAGGGGCTAGATGGGCGCTTCTCACATGCCGATATTCGTGAGCATCATTGGAGAGCTTGCGGAACCCCCAACCCTGTGCCCCACCCCCGGGATGCTGACGCATCAGGTCGGAGGTGAGGTCCGAGAGCCAGCAGTTGTAATAACCCCCCTGCAGATGCTGCCGCTGCCGGTCCCAGGACCACACTCTGAGAAGCACCACGCTACAGGGCATGAAGCCGGAAACCGCACTGCGTCACTGAGACAACAGATTCACGCGGGGACAGACAGGAGCTGGCTATTTAGAGGAAGCTTCTGGAAACAAGATTAAACAGAGGGTGAAACTGGCTGCTGGACAGCTGGTTGGATGTGCCAGGCTGCTGTCTCATACAGACCTATGTTGGGTAAAATGTAGCCATTCATCCAAGGAACTCTTAGGAAAAGCATGAACTAAACTGAGTGGTATTGTGATACTGCAAATTATCTTCCCTGTGCCAGATTCTAAGCACAGAGGCAAATAAGACACGTTCCCATGCTTGTGAGGCTTCCTCATCATGGAACAGGCATGAAGATGCTCAGAAGGACACAGGCAGCATAGGTCCCTTGCACACGGTGGTCATGAGCCAAGTGTTTAAGGAGGGGGAGGGATTATTTGAAACTGAAACTGCCCTGGGACATTGAGGGTTTACAGACATTAGGGACCAAACCACTGGGTGCAGAGTGTATGTCACTCCGGTGCAGGAGATCTATAACAGCCCTCTTTCCAAAACAAAAGAGCCTTTCTTCCTTGACAATACCCAGATAAACAAATTGCTTACGTCCACAACTTCATCTTTGGAATGAAAATCAGACACCAACACATTTTCCCCATCCGACACTCTGGTGAGTGAGATGCAGACTTTGCCGGAGATGCGTTTGTGGATGTCAGCTGGGAGGTATTTGCAGAGATTGTCTCGGATATATTTGCTTATGTTGAAGGATGGATGAAAGATGCCAATGTTCCTTCTTTTGGCCATCCTGACTAACTCCATGAGGATCTGCAGAGTAAGGTCTAGGGGCAGGAGACAGATACATGAAAGAATGTACCACACTGGAGATGGGAATACTTCTTGGCAAAACCATAAACCAGAAAGCAAGGAAGCTGCCAACCTTTTTCCAGACCTGCACTATCTAATACAATAGCCACAGGTGACCACTAAGCCCTCGAAATGTGATTTGTCTGGATTGAGACATGTAAAATGTACGTTGGATTTCAAAGGCTTAGTATGAAATATGTCATCAATAATGTTGCATGTTGATTAGATGTGAAAACGGTACTCTGGATATACTGAGCTCAATGAAGTTAATTTCACCCGTGTCTTTTACTTCTTCCAACACGACTCCTAGGAAACGCACAGCGGCATGCATGACTTGTAGTGTACGACACCGCACGGCACTGCTCTAGGCCTGAGCCACAGCAAGGGGCCTCCCACTTCCAGTGGCCCAGGCGAGCACTCCCCATCTTCATGCCCCACAAAGCCAGAGGCATGGAACCCATCAGCATCTGAGCTTTGGCACGGATGGCCTTGACACTGTAGGGTGCAGAAGAAAGAATGCAAGTTTGGACTCGAGTTCAAATCCTGCTTCCACCTTTGACTATCGGAATGGCCTCAATAAGGCACTTCACAACCTAAGTCTCAGACTGTGTCTTTTTAGCCATAGGACAAGATTCACCTACCTTTTGGAGACAGAATTCGATAAAATACAATCTGTAAGGTGCTCAACCCGGAAGAGGCTTCTAATAAATAGCTACTATTCTCGACCTTAAGCCTTTACTGCCAGAATTACCTGTGTAGTGAGCACAGGGTACATTCATGCTCCATCTGACCTCACGTACTGGCCTGGCCCCTCTGGCCCCTCTGCACTGTCCGGGCATGCAGGGCCACCCCGCTCGGCCTGGTACCTGGCCAGCCACGCATTCTAGGATACCCAAAGACAAACATGCCCCAGCTTGTCCTGATCCAACTCTGACCTCCATGCGTGGCTCTCCGTCCTCGAGTGGCCCCACTGAGCCTGGCCAAAGGGGTGGAATTGCACACGGCTGGCAGCTTCTGCCTGTCTCTCCTGCCAAGGCAGCCCTGGCTCACATGCGCTGAGGAGCTGTGTCCAGGTCACAGCTTCTGGGAAGTGCTCAGCAGGCCCCAAGTGCACAGCCCCCTCTCAGACGGGGGTAAAGCAGGAGCCTGGTGCCAACACCTCCAGATGCACTTTCCAGGGACTGGGTGCTCCCTGAGCCTCCCCATGTCCCACTGGGCACAGCCCGAGGCTGCAACAGTCCTCTGCCCAGTCAGGAGCCGCCTCTGTACTGGAGCATGCTACAGGCTCCTGGGATCAGCACATTTGAATCTTGTCCTAATTAAACATTCGTCCATGTGGGTGTCCATAGGCCACCTTAGGATCCAAGGGCTGGCTTTTATCATTGCTAAAGCCCAGGGTGTGCAGAGGGTCATGTGGCCAGGCTAGTCTAATCTCCCCGGAGACCACACTTCCTGCCCTAATCTCCTACCCACCTCCCTGGGGAGGGCTGACAGCCAGAGCAGTGCAATCCCTAATCCCCACCTCCCAGTCAGCCCAGGGTCTGCTCACCGATCCTACCCAATGGCAGGGCTCTGCCTTCCAGCAGGGGTTTCCACTCCCTGCTCGTTCTAGCAGCCAGCACAGAGTAGATTGTTAGGAAAGCCCAGAGAAACGGGAGCTGATAAGGGGCATTATCTGCCCCTCTGGGGAACCTCTGGGTGTCAACAGCTCCATACTGCCACTTGCCCCAGGCCCTGCGCACTGGGTCAGACCCCCTCCATCCCTGGGAAGGATGCCACACCCTAGTAGTTCAGGCTAGTGAGGCACAAACCTCAAGTGTTCCCGTACCCCAGGCCCCACATGGACAAATGTTTAATCAGGACAAGATTCGAGCGTGCATGATCTCCCTTCCAGTGGCACTGGCTCAGGCCAGTGGGGACCAGAGGAGAGGATGGGATGGGGGACTCCACGCCCCCGGCCCCCACCTTGCGCGCCATGGTCGCGACTCCAGCTAGTCTGCTCTGGAGGACGCCCTAGGGTCGCTCCCTCTAAGAGGACACCCAGCCTCCAGGGGGCTGGACTGCAACCCAAAGCGCGCGGGCGCAGGGCGTCTGCAGTCCCTCCGGCCCCAATCGGGAAGGCGCCCACACTGGGACTCGGCCAGAGCCCACTCTTGGTCAGACCCAGCGCACATCGGCCCTTCGGCAGCTCAGCGGGCCAGCGTGTCCCCAGCGGACACCCTGGACCCTCCGTCCCCGGGTCCCGCCCCTCCTCCCAGTCGCTCTGAGATCACGGCTCTCAACGTTGTGGAGGCCAGGGGCTCCCTTCCAGCCCAGCCCGAGCGCTGAGGAGGTTTGGGGCGGGGAGACTGGGCTCCCACCCGGACGGCTCCGGGTTCCCACGTTCACAAGAGCCGCCCCTCAGGAGCGCCCCTTCCCGGCCCAGCGACAGAGACCCCTGCGAGGGGAGCGAGGACGCCCCAAGGAGGAGTCGTCTGCACGAGGAGACCCACAGGGCGCACCCCGCGGTGTCCCCGTCCGCCCGCCCGTGGGCGGTCCCTGCCCGTTCTCCGGGGTCCCGCCCGCTCTCCGGGGGCCCCGCACGCACCCAGCGGGATCCCGGCCGTGCAGACGACGCAGTGCAGCGCGCCGCTCGAGGCGCCGAAGAGCATGCGCGCATCGCGCAGGAGGTGCGGCGCGCGCTCGCTCAGGCAGCGGGTGGCGCCGATGTGGTACAGGCCGAGGAAGCCGCAGCCCGAGAAGGACAGGCTCCAGCCGCGCTCCGGGTCGTACATGGCGGGGCGCGGGGCGCGGGGCGCGGGGCGCGGAGGTCGGGCCGGGTCGGTCCGCGCGGCTGCAGCGCTCGCGCTCCCCGCCCGCCGCGCCGCCGGGGATATCCCGCGCGGCCACAGCCGGCCCGCCGCGCCGTCCGCGGGAGCCCCGGGGCGACCGCCGCCCTCCCCCGGGCCGGGCGGGGGGCGGGGAGGGGCGCCTGGGAGCCCGACTGGGGAGACCTCTCCCCCCCAGGACTGTGGACGGCTGGGGAGGAGGGGCTTCCTCCTCTGTTCCTTTTCCTCCTGAAGTCGGGGAGAGTCGCAGTTGGGTCCTTCGTGTCCCTCTGACCCTTGATCCATTCCCGTTTCACACCAGGACAGTCAGCCTACAGCGGTGTCGTTTGTCCATTTCTGCAGTTTTTTTAAATGATTTTGTCTTCAATCCATGGCAAGTGGTAGGGACTTTTCACTGAATGACAGTGACAGGACATTTCCATCTCAGCGTTTCTCTTATAAGTAAAGTGGGTGGACTGTGCAAGGTGGCGCATGCCTGTGGTCCCAGCACCTTGGGAGGCTGAGGCGGGAGGATTATTTGAGGCCAGGGGTTTGAGGCTGCAGTGAGCTGTGATCTCACCACTGCACTCCAGCCTCGGTGACAGAGCAAGACTCAAGACCGTGCCTGTAAAATAAAAAATAAAAAAGTAAAGATTGTGAATGACAGGTGCTGGGGTGAGGGTGGAGGTGGGGGCGGGGTGGGGGAAGGGCAACGTAGTAAGAACGTGGGAGTTTGCTGCCGTAACAAAGTACTATAGTTTGGATGAATTATAAACAGCGAACAAAGCTTTCTCACAGTTCTGGAGGCTGGGGAGCTCAAGTCCAAGGTGCCAGCAGATTCCATATCTGGGGAGGGGCATTCTGCATAAAGGACAACTTGTTGCTTCACCCTCACCTGGTGGAAGGGGCAAGGCTGCTCTCTGGCAGCGCTAATCCCCACGCTCCAGAGACAGAGAGAGGAAGGAGCGGGCAAAGGTCTCCTTGTCCAGCTCTCCCCGCTCCTTGCCTGGTGTCTGGTGGGGCGGGCCATGGCATGGTGGCTCAGACTGCAGGCTTTGGCGTCAGGTGGCCGGGGCACAAATGCCGGCTTCTCTGATCACTAGCTTTAGACCTTGTGGGCACCGCTGAACCCTCAGAGCTTCAGTTCTCTTACTTGTGCCAAGAGGGAGAGGACAGCTGTGCGAGGGCCGTGGTGAGGGTAATGTGATGGACAGAAGGCCCCCAGCACTGTGCCTGGCGGCCCCACCCTTCGCCCTGTCCCATCTCCGTCTCTCTCTTCCCCCCACTTCTGAGTCCCTGTCCCCGTCTCTGCCACCCACGCTCCCAGGCACAGCCAGGCCTGCAGCCAGGATCCAGCCCGAGGTTGCAGCACACTGAGCTGTGCGCCTCTCCTGTCTCAAACTCCAGTCCAGGCCCCAGGGAAACGCCTCCATATCTCTTGACCTATCTCCCCAAAGGTAAAGGTGACTGCTCTGCCACGGCGCAGGGATGTGTGGCCGTGCCCCTCTCACATCAGGCATGGGGACTTCGGGCAGTTGAGGCACTTAGTTAGCAAAGAGGAAAATTGAATTAATGTGTCACACCCTCAGATGGCCGGAGGCATGAAGGGCCCTTTTCCAGGAGTGACAAGGGCCCGTTTCTTTGTGGCTTTTGATGTTCCAATTCATGGCACTCGTGATACAGTGTGGGACTGACCGGCAAGAGGGGCACGCAGAAACGAGGACCATTTTCCAATATTAAGCAATTGGTATTGCTATTCAATTTGTATATTTATATTTCCGGCCGTAACATATGAAATGTACGTAGTATCTCTTTTTCTCCTTTGGCAGCTGGGTGGGTATGAAACAGTAGAATTCAAAATAGCTATATTTCAACAAAAATATTTAATAAGATTTTAGTTTTCAGTGAATTGAATAATTTAAATCAATTTAATTTGATTAATAAAATTCAATAATTTCAATTAAAAAATTCAATATTTTTTATATGCTATGTGGGGTAGCCAACTTGTTGTCAAAGTTTGTCTGGGACTTTCCTGGTTTTAACGCCGAAGGTCCTGCATCTAGGGAAACACCTCAGTCCCAGACAAGCAGGGACAATTGGTCAACCCTAAGTCTTCCTCTGGGCCCTGCAACTGTCAGGGATGTATCTACCTGGCCCACAATTAGTCTTCAATAAATCCCAGCAAGTGTTGATCTTCCTGGACAAGCGATGGCTAAACCACGGGCCCAGAGACCTAAAAGAAGACACAGAATAAGACGCCAGCTCAGAATGGAAAGGCATGGTCAACCCTCATTATTCCAGGATTGTGTATTTACCAATTTGCCTACTTGCTAAAATTTATTTAAAACTCCAAAATCAATACTTGCAGCTCTTTTGTGGACATTGGTGTTTATGCGCAGAGCTGCCCAAAAGTGTGAGTTGCCCAATTCCCAGCTGAGGTGACACTCTGCCTTCTTATTTTTGCTCTCCTGCTGTAAACAAGTGTCCGCTTTTCAAACTTGGGGGCTTTCTGTTGGTGACTTTGCTGTCTAGATCAGGTGTCCTCAAACTACAGCCCGGGGGCCACATGTGGGCCACCTAGCGCATTTATCCGGCCCTCCGGGTGTTTTTGCTGCCGCTGCCTGTCCTGCTTAGCAGCAGGCTCATCCCGGGCCCACAGTGCGCACTCTCCAACGGTCTGAGGGACAGTGAACTGGCCCCCTGTTTAAAAAGTTTGAGGACCCCTGGCGTGGATGGTCCACATGCACAGTGCTGAGTGCTGTGCGGTGCTCCCACGTGCGAGAAGGCTGCGCTGTGGCTTACAGAGGACATCCGTGTGTTGGAGAAGCTTCGTTCACGTGTGGGTGATAGAGTTGCTGGCTGTGGGTTCAAAGTCAGTGAATTAACAATATATAGGCTGGGCGCCATGGTGACTCACGCCTGTAATCCCAGCACTCTGGGAGGCCTAGGCAGGAAGATTGCTTGAGGCCAGGAGTTTGAGAACAGGCTGAGCAAGAGTGAGACCCCATCTCTACTAAAAATAGAAAAATCAGCCAGGCACGGTGGTGCACGCCTGTAGTCCCAGCCGCTGGGGAGGCTGAGGCAGGAGGATCTCTTGAGCCCAGGAGTTGGAGGTTGCTGTGAGCTAGGCTGACACCATGGCACTCTAGCCTGGGCAAGAGAGTTAGGCTCTGTCTCAGAAAAAGGAAACAAAAAAGCATATCAGTTAGGGTGTCTTTAAATAAAAACACACATGAAACAAGGTTATGTATTGATTGGTGAAAATGTGACCAGAGCAGGGCGGGCTCCAGGAGCCTGTACCTGCCCCGGGAGCAGTGATTCAGCATCGCTGGTTCAGGCTGCAGCGTGACTTCACAGAACACAGCCACCATGGAACACAAGAATCAACCGTAGGTCGGCCCGGCGGGCGGTCACGAAGGGGAGCGGGGTGGGTGCTGTGAGCTCTAGGGTTTGTTTCCCACACAGAACTAGACACACAGCAGAGCCACCCCTGAGCGTGCTGGGTCCAGACGGTGACGCAGGGACTCCAGGAGTGTGCTCTCCTCCTCCCTGCACCGCTGGGCAAGTGAGAGCCGGCGCCCTCTCCCAGTTTCCAAACCCCAGCGCCTTGAGGACAGGCTGGGTGGGAGCTCCTGACTTCTCTGCCAACCCGCCACACGTCTGGCTCTGTTCGCAGACGCACATCTCTGTGGATGGGAGAACTGGCTGATTTCGGCTGCGGACAAGCACGGAGTGGAAATGAGATTCGGGAAAGGCCGCCCGCCCAAACAAAACCCAAAAACCCCCCCTGCCCAACGCCGGGCCCCCCCCAAGGCCCGCAACCCCAACCGCCCCCCCCCAAAACCGGCCCAGCGCGGCCCAGCCCACACTGCGGCTTCGGGCAGGGAGCCCGCGTGCGCCCCGCCCCGGCCTCCCTCGGCCTGCGTCCCCATCCCTGGCCCAGCGTCCCAGCTCGGGCTGCAGTTCACTGTGGTTTTCTTTTTATAAGTCATGGGAAAATATGCATAGCATAACATTTTCCGCTTTAACCATTTTTAAGTGTGCGGTTCCGGGGTGGTGCAGCCGTCACCGCCCTCCATCTCCAGAACTTTTTCATCTTCCCAAACTGAAACCGGCCCCACGAAACACTAACCCCCATCGCCCCCAGCCCCTGGCACCCAGCACTCTACTTCTGTCTGAATCTGACCACTTTAGGTACCTTATATGAGTGGAATCATACGGTATTTGTCCTTTTGTGTCTGGCTTATTCCACATAGCATGATGTCCTAAGGTTCACCCATGTTGTAGCACGTGTCAGAATTTCCTTCTTATTTAAGGCTGTACGATATTCCCGTGTGTGTGTGTGTGTGTGTGTGTGTGTGTGTGTGTACACAGCCGTGGGCACTTCCAGGTTAACACGTCCAGAACTAAACTCCGCACGGGCAACTCCTCCTGACCTCGAAACTGGCCCTGCTTTCCCGTGAAGCCCTAGAACCTCCCTACCCAGGCCAGCAGCTTGCCCAAGCCAGGCTGCGGAGACCAGGGGAGGACACAAGGGGGGAGGCCGTGGCGATGGGCTCAGGGGAGCAGCAAGAGAGAAGGGAAGAGATTCAGGGGCCACGTAGGGGCCACAAGGTCTGCTGGGTGTCTCCCGAGCAGAGTGGAGTCGTGGGCAAAGGAAGCTGCGTGGGAGGGAAGGGCAGCGAGCTGCAGGATCAGACAGCCACAGCAGCCCGGTGGAGCCGGAGCCGTGGATGAGCGAGAGCAGTGGGGGAGCCTCACCTTCCTCCTCCACCCCCCCAGCCCCGTCATTCCCGTCTCTGCAGCCTGCCCTCCGTGAGCTGGGAACCAAGTGTCCTCTCTTGTCTGCCTCATCCGCTCGAACCCCATGTCCAGGCTGCCATTGGTGACCATCATCTGCTGGAACCCCACGTCCAGGCTGCCATTGGTGACCATCATCTGCTGGAACCCCACGTCCAGGCTGCCATCGCTGACCGTCCTCCTAAACCTCCCACAGGTGT